GGAATGCCGCTAATTCTGTGACTTCTTGAGCAGGAGAATGATCATATCTATTCTGCATTTCAAGTGACTTATCCATACAAGTGTAGACACACATTCCAAAAGCCATTGCAAATGCAAGAGTAAATGGCGCCAGCCAGACTGATCTTTACTGTTCATTGCATCTTAAAAAAAAAAAGGTAGGGGGAGCGGAAATTAGGAATGCTATTTGCTCTTTAAAAAAACAACCAGCTCCTAGATAATTATATTCTCTGACAAAGCTGCATTTAGGGAACTACCCTTCTTAAAAACATTCCCACTGTACTGTGAGGGCTGTGTATCTGTGTAGATTTTAACCCAACAGGCAGAGTCAAATTCATTGAGTTCATCATAAGCACACTGCATTCTGCTAGGATGTCAAATAAAATTCTGGATTTCCCAATTAACAAAGAATATCATACACTCTGACCCCAGAAAAACAACATTTAGTTTCTTGGTTATGGGATCTCAGCAGGCCTTGCTTGTGACAAGAGTAAAAGTTATTTTCTCTCTATGTTAAGTTTCTTTAGCAAATGTTTTAAAAATTGCTTGAAGAACCTAAAAGGTCATTTGAAAGTCTTATTTTTATTGTCACTGCCTCCGAAATACATTCCATAACTCAGTTTAATGTGATCTGCAGCAGGCCAAGTGTTTTACAAGCCAGTTAGAGACATGATAGAGTTCAGTGAAGAGGGGAGAGTGACGATCTAGTTTGAGAAATGTAATTTTGCAATGCTTGTAAAACATGGAAAGAAAATATCTCTGTGATTCAATTTTGATGACTGAACATGTTCATGACCTTTCCTAAGGTAAAGAAACCCAAATGAGCGCTTTATGAGGGAATAGATATGTCTGAGGACATCTGTTTAAAAGCATGTCAAGACAAGGTTCACCCACCTCCCAGAGTAGTCCCTTCTCCTGTAGATAACTTTCTCCTGGCTTCATCACTCACAAGCCTTCATAGTCCTCAAGCCAGTGCAGAGAATAGCAGGGCAGGAACTTGCTCTTGTGTTACTACCGATACTGCATCCATCCGCTGTATCTTCAGATAAGGAAAGGTACTGTGAGTAATTTGCAAGAATCCCCTCATTTGAGTCTGGACCGTGATTCTGTCAGCTGTTACCCTTGTTGATGGTGACAGCTTTAATCTTGCCATACCTCCTTGTTTTGCAGTGGCACAAAAAGCACAAACCAGGAATCGGCCTCTGTTGTATGGGTCCTACAGCAAAACCAAACCAGGGCACTTGTCCTTGTCACATGCTGCCTACACGTACTTCTTTATTTTCGGTCATCTAAGGGTTATACATGAGGTCCTCAGACTAAGACTTTAGTGTGTTTGATAGGTAGGTATCTGGAGATTCAGAGAGAAATCTTGCATATGTGAAGAAGACTCCTTAGTTTTCTTGATTTTTCATCAAGATAATTTCCACCATGGTATTTTAACTCCTGTTTATGACTTCTGAATATGAACTCCTGTAATTTTCTTCAGAGCGACCTGTATGTTTTTGTAAATCCATTTGGGTTTTCCTAGTAAACTAGTAGTCCCCTAAACAATTGTATTCTGCTTGGTGGAAGTTACAGAGGCACATGTTTCCCCTTCAGTTGTCTAGACAGAGTCTCAGCCCCAGGTATTGCTGCAGTAGTAATTCTAGTGACCGAAAAAAGGTTATTCCAGATTTATGTTGTCATAAATAAGATCAGAATTTTGTTTATTCGGGTACATGCCCAGCATTAGCAGAGCACCTCGGTTCCTATCAAATGTTTACAAACAGGAATAAAAATTTGCTTGTTCCCTCGCTCTTTCTGTCTTACCATCTGACAAGAAAAATAGCTTTGTTTTATTGTGGTTTTTGTGCTCAGTTTGCAAATGTGAGTGAGTGATTGTGGCTTGAGTGAGTTGGGGATAAGTGTAAAAGCGGTCATGAATACATTTGGTTTGACACTTCTGCAAAAGGGTCTAAAACATGGAAATTTGTTCTGCACTCAGTTTTCGGTTTACTTTTGCCTTCAGTGGGAAGATTTAATTTCGTCTAGACAGTGATTCTGTGAAAGTTCAGTCTCCTGTACGCACATTTTTTTTCCCTGATGATTGACAGTTTCCTTGGTTCAACAGTATAGCTGCTATGGATAATTCATGTCCACAGGGGAGGAATACTCTCTTAGGGAGTAATGTCCAATCCCACTTTGAGTCTAGTGACAGGAGTTTTGGTGGGTCTTTGATAAGCTCTTCTGAAAATCAATGAGTATTAGTCTGTGCTACCACCACTCTACTGTTTGGTGGCCAGGCTGGCCATGGTGCCGCCTTTGGCTGCATGTTATAGAGGGTACAGAAAAAACATGTTCAGGGGAGAGGCCGTGCAGGCAGCCAAGCAGGTGAACTGCACAGGGAAATCTTTGCTTTTAATGAGACACAAATGTTTCTACTGCAGCTTTCTTGGATTTATTCTTTCACTTCTGATACAGTTCATTTCGATACAGAAATAAGCATTAGGTGACTCACTGAGGCCTTAAGACCCTAAGGTATTTCATAGCTCATGTCTAGGAATGAACATTTGTCACCATGGACATTTGGATTTCAAATTCAAGAAGTATAAAAGGGTGCCAGTAATGAGGACTGACTCAGAAGTCCATGTTGGGTATCCTGTACCATGGAGACCAGAGCATTTTTTGAAGTGCCTTGCTCTTCCAGTAGTCTGTCTTAGTCTTAGCTTTATCTGCTGCATTTAACCTTGTGCTGCTCTAAGTTAAGCGTTGTTAAACTCGGAAGATGATGCTAATCAGTACTGTAGAAAAAAATCACTATTATAAAACACTGCCATGCAGACTCCTAGACGTATTTACTAAGTATCCTAATGCTATGGGAGAAAGGAGTGAGCCTTGAAGAAAAATTTTCAAGCAAGAGTTTGATAATGGAGGAACATTTACACATGTGGCCCTCCCAGCTCATTTGATTAATCTCAGCAACTGATGAAAGCGGTTTGACTATCAAACATAGAACATATTCATCCTACCTGCATGGTATCGTATGTTCAACTGTGCCAGATTTTCCCTTTCTCTTATCCTGTTGTTTTCTACATGGATCCATTCCCTCCTCTCGCTCCTGCTAGACCCTTGAGTGTGACCACCCAGTTTCAGTTACTGAATATCTTAATTTGTTAGAGGTCTTAATTGTGCTAGATGATAGCAATGCAAGAAGTCCCTACCACTGTTTGCAATTGGTTTCTCTAAGAGTTTCCTCTAGACTTCATTATTTTGGGGCTCTGAGTATATTTTGTTCAACATAAAGTCATTATTTACGCTTTGCATGCAGCTTAAACTTCTGAATGTGCATTTTGCACTTGAGGAGCATCAAAGTGTGGAATAAACACCCCATTTGAGTCTTTAACTAAAGCCCATTCACTTGAAAATTATGGCACCAGAAAAACTAGGAGAACAGTAATGCTCAGTGCGTGTAGTCACATAGTCACTTGTTTCTGAATAAAAAAGGCAATCACAAATTTTAAAAGTTTTATGTGGGGGCCAATGTTCAGAACTCTTCATAGAAAATTAAGAAACAAGATTCTGACCTAGATTTATCATTTAAATTCAACTAAAATTCTGCAGACTACTAATGGCAAAGACAACACAGATGGGGCTAGGATGGGAGAACATTACAGAAGAAAGGGGAGCGTGTATGAAGACAGTGTTTTTAATGATTTGAATGGATAAATTTTAATGATTTAATGATTTTAATGGATTGAACAAAATTTTCCCATGTTTCATCTTTTTACTTTCTGTGTTGGTTTTTTTTACCCCTTTAAACGGTCACATAGGATTTAATAGTGGTAAATTCAATAGAGCCCTATAAAGATCCAAAAGGTCTTTTAAAAAATCTGTATGTAACTATAAAATAATAGCGCAGATGATACATTCTATGAACTTAAAATCAACTGATACAATTTCAGAGGGAAAAAAAAAAATCTTAAAATGTGTTGGTATTTTTCTTAAAAGTTTTTGTTGACTAGATGTCAAATGACAGATGTCTTTTTGCCCGACTCTGTGGAGTTGCTGGGTACTTGATGCTCCCAGTGATTTGGCATAGGGCATTACGGAGTATTTCTGAACTTGAGGCCTGGAGTACATAGCAACTTTTGATTCAACTCAGCTTGCACGTTAACAGGATTTTTTCAGCTGAAAGTCTTATGTAGTTATCGCTTCTAATTGTTTGCATTTTCTTTGTTGTTTTGTGGTGTTTTTTTTTTGCCTGCTTTTGGAATTCATGACCATCCAGTGAGAAGGACACTAAAGAGCGGGCTAACACCAGAAGAAGCCAAAGCACTGGGTCTTATCAGCACCTCTGAGATGCAGGTTTGACGTCCCAGAGGTGGCAACAAGAAGAGCCTTTCACCTGAAGCACACAGGCTGACAGCCCTTCGGTGGGGCATTGACCTGCCAGCCTCCTCTGCTGCTCCCAACATCCCATCCTCTGTTAGTTTGATTTTAATAAGCAACAAAAAGCGAAACCCCACAGCCAGGACACAAGAAGGCTGTGCCGCAGCTCAGCACGACATCCGGACAGTAACTGAGGAAGCGTGTGAGTGCTTGTAGGTGAAAGCATATGGCTTCTTCTCGTGGTGTGTTGATGTGGGTAAGAGGGGGCTCTCTCTTGAGTTATCTGTCGTTATGTGAGCTGTGTTTACTCTGGCTTTCCTTGTGCCCTGTTTTAGTCATTGTAAATGTATGGCATTTTGTTAATGCAAGGAACAGTCCTTAAAGAGGCAAAATAACTCCTGTTACAGCGACCCTAATTTTCCTGAAGCAGTTTTGTTAAGCAGAGATGCACAGTCTGTGCAGCCCTGTGGTTTGAGGTTTTTTGTTACTGTTTTGCCACCAAAGAATGTAAAAATGTATGTGTACCTTTGTATATGTACAGGATGAATGTGTGGACGTGTGTGTGTGTGTCTATACACAAACAGTCATGCT